ACAAATAATAGATATTGCAAAAAATAAATATATTAAAAGTGTTTACAACCTAAATTGATTGAACTTAGGGCATAACACTTACAGTCACAAGCGCATACATCGAATTGTAAGATGATGGTACTCATGGTGTCATCTTTCGACTGCTGGTCAAGATGACAGATGATTTTGATAATGTTACTGACACCGAAGAGTTTGTACGTGCCGAGGAATTGGCGGTGGCGTTTGTGGGGGAAATAAGTAGGGGTCGCAGTTTTTACGTTGATATTTGCACGAGGCGCAAGCCTGGGTGGTGGCGTCAGTTCTTGAATATTAAATAGTATTGTTGGACATGTTATTGTGCATGGCCTAAATATATTGTGGTTTATGCGTAAGTTGGGAGATATTGGCTCCGGCTCCGGCTCTGGCGGGGGATGGCAATGGGACTGATCTTTGCTTTATATTTCTTTGAATGAAGAATGTAAAAGGGTTGGTAGAGAAAAATAACAGGAGAGGAAGACACATGGAGAGAGAGAGAGTTTTCTTAGTCATTTTTGGATTGGACCGAGGAGTTACATTTCGACCAATCCATTCCGGGGTTAGTTAACGATGTTTCGCCTATTTCTAGTAAATCAAAAACTTTAGATGGTGTAATTGAGAAGAGGTTTTTAATCCTGCGAATTAAGGAATGCATTGGGCATGGACTTGAAGATATTGACGAGGGTGGTTATTGTTGGGAATCTACTTAACATGCGCAACGGAAATTAAAATAATTTTCGATTCCCACCAAGTTTTATTTTTGTGTTTAGATAGAAATTGTGATAAAAGTCATTCCTTTTTCTAGATCTGCAAATCCCTTTGCTTTTTCTTTGTTCCAATGATCTTGATTCGCCGCCCACAACTGTCCAATTATCCAGCCTCCAATGATGATCCGCACAGAGAACAAGATTGTAGTATTCGGATTTTCTTCTTGTGCTAGCAAAAATAATGAATTCGCTACTGAATTTGAAAACCCAAGTCATATTTATATAAGCCCAAATGGACTTGACCTAATTCCGGTCCAATATTTAATTAACCTCTTTAATTAAATCCTATCCGTAAACTAATTAATCCAATTAATTAATTCGAGCCTATAAATATGTAACCCAATTAATTAATTTATTCAATACTCGTTAAATTAATTAATTGATAAATTACAATCTTCTAATTCTCTTTTTGTGTGCGACCCATCAGGTTCTCGATCACGATACCTCACGACGTGAAATATTATTTTGATCTAATCAAAATTGATAAATTAAAACACCCTTTCAATTTATCAACAATTCACACTCGCCGTCCCAGATTAACATCTAGCAATTTGTCAGAACAATACATGTGACGGAAAATGTCACGTGGTATGACAAAACCAAACTCGTTCGTTTACCATGAAACTATAATCCCTTCGTCAATATTATCCGATCAATTACGAGATATGAAAGTGTGTAAATCTCGATTATCGATCATATCTTTCACTCCACTATTAAGTTAATATAAGTCGAAATTTTTTTTTCAACTTATGAGTACACGTTGGCCAAGGATTTTGCTATCGACTTAATTGAATGAAATGCAGATCATAATCTCTTACTATCTAAGAGTGACGAATATTCTATTGGTCATTCACAACCTTCATACGATTCTTGACATACTCGAACGATGCTGTATTAGCGGCCCTTGGCAGAGCAACATCCAACACCGCCAAAATATGACTATCCTCATATAAGATACCATGACAACCTCAAGTCAAAGGACCAATTTCACTACCGAACGTTAGAGATTAACCACTGACACTCAGATAGGTATCCATGTAGAATCTCTCGGTGGGTCTCCAATGTTTTGTTCTATAACAAAATATCAACGTGTTCATTTAAGTATCACCATACTTTAACTTGTGAGATCAGTTACTTACTTCACAAGTAAGAAATATCACACGTGATGGTCTATCCATAATAACGATATCCGTATCTCGTTGTTACTTACGACCACGGATGATTTAAGATTCAATCATATATAATTTGTATCTTACAATCACAACTCCTTGTGATTAACAAATTACGAAGATTTGAATCTACGGACTCTATTATTTAATTTAATTTAATTGTCTATTAATTAAATAATAGATCTGTCATTAAATTACATTAATTATATATTAAAAGTATTTATGTCCGAGGTTGATTGGACTTAGGGTATAATACTTACAAACTCTCACTTGCACTAGGTCCAATCACTTATGTATCCAATGTCATAAGAGTATACATGACGATCATGTTTATACTACGACAACTCTTTGTCAGTGGATCTGCAATATTGTCAAATGTGGGAATTCTTTCTTCTCTTTTCGTCATTTCTATGTATTATCTCTTTGATGAGATTATACCGCATTAATACACGTTTGGATCATTGACGAGACCTTAGTTCCTTCGCTTTCGCGGTGGCTCTATTGTTATCACAATGCAGTGGCATGTGATTAACAATATTAGAGACTACTCCAAATTCATTAATGAACATCTTGATCCATATTGCAACTCTTTGCTCTTCTAAAGCAATCATGTATTAGGTTTTTGCTATTGAATCAACGATTGTTTCATGTTTGGAACCCTTCCAACACACCGTTTAAGAGTAAACCAATTTCTCCATATAAAATCTTCTCAATATTTTATATAGATTGAGACGAGCTAATCAATCTTCTAGATCTATCTCTATAGATCAAGTTGCTTCCCTATATCGTTCATGAATAAATCCTTTAACAACCATTATTTCAACAATTGAAATATAGGGATGATGTTTTCTATAATATTAGGAATGCGACAATACTCCCACTATCTTCTTGTAAACACACAATTCGTCTTCATATTTGATAAAATCAAACATTTTAATTTTTTCCTCAAATCGAACATTTCAGCTCCAAGAGATTTGTTTTAACCCACAATCATGGTATGCAACTATTGCAACCAAAATCCGAATGGACCTCAGCATGACTACAGGCGATAGGTTTCATTAAGTCAACACATCGTCTTTGTTTGTTACCTATTGCTACTAGCCTTGCATTGTATGTATGGATATTCTCATCCATGTCAACCTTTTATTGTAAATCATTTAAAACCTATGAATTTTATCCCATCAGGAGGGTCAACCAAGGTCCAAACCTTGTTCACATACGTCAAGTTCATCTCGGGTTTCATGGCCTCTTTCTATCTCTTTTTAAGTCAACACTTGACTCTATTTTTGTGCAATTAGTAGGTTCATCATCTTGGATCAGTAATACCTAATTAGTAATCACGGATTCGCACCTTCTTGAAGGTTGAATGATCCTACTAGACTCACATAGAGCTGACATATTTTCAGGAGTCTCTACTCCCTGATTAAGAGTATGTCCCATATCAGATATGGGATAAAACTCAGATTCATCTACTTGGTTAACTATATCTGTGGACTCTTGAACAAGTTCTATTTTGCTCCCACTGTCCTCTCCTAGAGTAAACATTTTCTCTAAAAAAAGATAGATCGTGAGACGAAGACTTTCTTCACGATAATAGAATTTATATTCAAATATCTGCTTTGAATATCCCAATCTATTTTGAATATCCCACAAATATGTCTTTATTGGATTTAGTGTCAAACTTATCCGATTCAAGCGCTTCAAATAAGCGTCATGGCCCCAAACTTTCATATAAGATAAATTGGGACTATTGCCTTTCCATAACTCGTATGAAGTTCTGTTAACCAATTTAGATGGGACATGATTTAGTATGCAGCACACTGCAATCAGTGCATGATTCAAAAATGATTTTGGAAGGTTTTCATGGCTTATTATTAATCGCATTATATCTAGTAGTTAACGATTCATCTTTTCAGATACACCAGTGCTGCAGTGTATATGGAGGAGTCCACTGCAAGAGGATCGTATTGTCTCTTAGATAATCTAGAATTTCATCTTTAAGATATTCTCATCTCGATCAAATCTTGATGCGAGAATATCTCTATCTATTCGTTTCTTTACTTCCAATATGATCCCTTGAACCTTTCAAGAGTTTCATGTTTCAATTTCATCAAGTATATATGATCATTGATGAAATTAGAGAAACATTACCTGACATCAATTTGCATGAGTCCATATGCATCAATATGCATTAAACCAGTAATTATGCTGACCTTTCTTCTTTTCAAGTAAAAGAAAATTTGGTCATTGTGCCAGACATGCATAATTTGTACTTATGAGTACACCTTGGCCAGGGATTTCGTTATCGACTTAATTGAATGAAATGCAGATCACAATCTCTTACTATCTAAGAGTGACGAATATTCTATTGGTCATTCACAACTTTCATACTATTCTTGACATACCCAAATGATGTCGTATTAGCGACCATTGTCAGAGCAACATCCAACACCGCCAAAGTATGACTATCCTCATATAAGATACCATAACGACCTCAAGTCAAATAACCAATTTCACTACCGAACATTAGAGATTAACCACTGACACTCAGATAGTTATCCATGTAGAATCTCTCGGTGGGTCTACAATATTTTACTCTATAACAAAACATCCACGTATTCATTTAAGTATCACCACACTTTAACTTGTGAGATCAGTTACTTATTTTACAAGTAAGAAATGTCACACGTGATAGTCTGTCCACAATAACGATATCCGTATCTCGTTATTACTTACGATCACGGATGATTTAAGATTTAATCATATATAATTTATATTTCACAATCACAACTCCTTGTGATTAACAAATTACGAAGATTTGAATCTACGGACTCTATTATTTAATTTAATTGTCTATTAATTAAATAATAAATTTGTCATTAAATTGTATTAATTATATATTAAAAGTATTTATATCCAATGTTGATTGGATTTAGGGCATAACACTTACAGTTATGACATTAACAATAGTAGTTTTGGACCTAAGAACATTTCAACGATGACAATGAAGATATTGACGAATAGCCTAAAAAGTTTATGACGAGAAGAATAGTGACGCAGAATATAACTTTTTGATTTAACTAAATACACGACTCTCATTGACTAATTGTGGCACATATTATGAGTGCAAATATGCAATTACTCAAGCCACTACAAATGGAACGAAAGCAGTATTGACGATGACAAACCTAACAAGCAGGGAAGTCGACTATCCAGTGATATAGGGTACAACATTGCAAACGGACAGAGAGGGCCTCACCAAACTCTCGAGACCCATTTCTCTTACAATAGAACGTCAAAACACAATATAAATGTATTCTTTTACGTAGTTTTATTGCAGCATGCATCAAATTAAGGCACAATAGACTCTTCGAAAAGGAAATATGAAGTTGATGCAATTACAAATATAAGTAGAATATATATATGTATATATCAAGCTAGTCCGAATGACGGTCACTTATGGAGCCTTCCTTTCCACTCTTCTTTGCCTTCTTCCCACGCTTGATGTGATGTGCATGGTCATCCATGGACTCCGATATGTCCAAATGAACACCCGGATCATTCGTATTATAACTACCACCGAGCATTATCGAGTTGTTAATAGCTTGAAAATTACTGTTCACACATGTAGTCAACTCTTCAGAGCCTCCCAATGCGATACCTGTTAGATTAAATTTCAATCATAAATAAATATCATATCTTCTTTAACAAGGTGTATGCTTCTGTAATAATACCTTGTGGAACTGCAGGTTTCTCGTCCATGTCGCCGCGCATGGTGGCTCCGAGGTTGGTACCGGCTAACGTGATGATCCTCAATCCATCGTCGTCGTCCTGCGTATTATGTTGGGTTGAATCCTCTCCATTTTTCTGAATACTCGATACTCGAGTTGTGAGCGAAGAGATGAGTTCTTTGATTTCTTTGTCGAAACTTTTTTGCTTCTCGGCATCGGTGAAAGCCATGGATGAACACAAAAGAGAGAATTATGCAGGATTTATATGGTATATGGAATTAAGGCGTGTAGTTATAGTTGAATTTGTATGAGAGGCGATGGACATTTTATAGAATCGGTTAAAGTTAAAGGGGAAGAAGGTGCCTTTCTTGCTTGGAAATAAAAGGATTTATTTCAGAATTAGGAAATGAAGCTAAGTATTGCTTGTCAAATGGTTCATCCCCTACATCTTTACAATCGTAATTGGGACAATTATAGTTGGATTCTTGAAACTCAATAAAATCGAGCACTCATGTTTCCGTTAAATATTTTCTATTCAAGTAAAAGTAAGTTCTCACTTGATCGATATAACATTATTTTTTATCGAATAACAACATGGATGCACTGTTTATACTATTTTGGATCGGGAATAGGGGTGTACATGGAATGTGACTTTGAAAGAAAATTTAATGGTTTCCATCTAGTGGGAACTTATTTCAAGTGAAACTAACTTAATGTTCGGGAATTCGTGTCTTAAAAAATGAATGAGGAACCAATTGTTGTACATAGCAAAGTTTGAAGACTCCAGTTGTAATTTTCCAACCATAATTTTAGTCTTTTTTTTTTTTTTTGCCCCCTCTCAAAACTAGTATTTTAAAGGTCGAGATAGATGGATTGACAAAAGTACACTAGCAAAAAAGGAAGAATTTAAAAAAAAAAAAAAAAATTATATATGACTTTAGACCTAATTGATGTGGCATAATGTGAAAATTAAACATTCGTTATTTCGTAAATATATTAAACCTTGTTAAGTTCAAGAAACTAATACATAAAATTTGACTATTCCTTGAAGTTAGAACATGGGAAAGATAAGACGGACAAGAAATGTATGAGGAGAAAGTTAAAGAAGTCGAATGTCACATAACAAGAAACAATGTAACTATGAACAAAATCCTCGTAGGAAGTTTTGGGTTAAAGGAAAAAGAAAGAGAAGAAAAGAAAAACTCACAAAATGACTCATTAATTTGTATCTATCTCGTACTTGAGATTACTCCATTTTCGCTATTCGAAAGATTAGTGAAATTACTCTCTCTCGTATAGATCATCGTTTTAATTAATCTATAATAGTTTCCAAACTTTCCTAAATAGAGTGCAATGGTCCTCAATCAACTTTTTCTTATATATAATTCCCAAAAGTTTCATTTTCGATATCCATTCGTCCCCATTGAAAGAAACAGTAAAGAGCCACACGTTTTACGTTGTGACTTTTTTGATTCACCCCGCACCTCGACTCCTCGTGCTATCCTAGTTCCACACCTTTTGATTCACACCCTCACTATCATTTTGTTATGGGGGCAGACCCATTAAGGGTCGAGTGGATGTAATTGCACCTACTGGACCCTTAATTTTTGACATTTACGAAGTAACCTACATCATTTTTAGTCCATAATTTGAAGTTTTTAACACATGATTTTTACATAATTCTGTCTCGCCACCACTGAATCATATTCCTGGGTCCGCCCCTAGTTTTGTTTATGGATTCGAAGCCAATTGTCAGTAACAGAAAAGAAGAATCATCAACATTTTATTTAAAACAATCAATTGTTTATTACACTGAAAACCTGAAAATATAAAAGATTGAGAAGGTTAATTAAAGACATACTTACAAAAGCATATAAATACGAAAATGAAGCAAATATATATACCCTTGTTTGAGCCCCATTCTTTGGGAAAAAAATCATTTTTCTACAGTGTTTTGACATCATTTCAACCACACATTCTTCAATAAAATAATATTACACGTAAATCTAGAACTTTTCCTTATTTTTTAACCACACATTTCCCATCAATACACTATTCAAAAATTCATTTTTTTTTCCCAAAGACGGGGTTCAAACAATGGCATAAAAAATCATTCCCAATAAGTAAGTGAAGAAGAAACATGAAAACGTTCGAGTTTACTAAAAGAAATTGAAAAATTCACCCTCTGGCTTTCTTCTTAAACAACCACGCAACATAAAAAAAATAAAAGCATTTTTCTTTAGATCTTGAATTTGGAAATGGAGGAAATTGTTAGATTTAAAAGATTAAATTGTGTTAATCATATTTTGCCAACTTTATCCTTCAAAAATAAAACGTGCATCTCACATAAAAGTAATATAATTATAAATTATGTAAAAATGATGAGACGTGCAAAAGGGATGAAATGTCGAGATTCAGTAATCCAATTCCAAAAATTGGGGACAAATTTGTTGAAGGTGCAAAAGGTTACAGTCTGGACCCCCTTAGGGTGTTAGGGGGAATAACTAAGACAACACAAAAGTTGTTATGCTGTATGTTCCATGTTGACCGTCAACAAACTCACTGAAAAACGGAATGGACTAAGACAAAGCAAAGAAAAACTATGTAAGTCAGCCAATGCCAGTAGTAGGATCAGGAGCTAGAAGACGAGTGGGTCTTGCAGAGACTCCTGCTCTTCCTATTAGCAATCGAGAGCAAAAGGTTAAGACCTAGTATATGGCCACCTTGTATCTAAAATGAGGAAATTGACATTGAAGTTGAAGGAATTATTGAAAAATTATGAAAAATGCAAAATGAACAAAGAGTTGATAAAAATTATTTGGAAAATTAATGAAAATTAAACTTTGCAAAATTTAATGAAATGTCAAGATCTTCATATCAGGTCACAAGAAAATTAATTAATGTGGTGCATCCCTTGATCCATGACTTTACATCTTAAACCTTTAAACTTGAAGATCAACTTACAATTCCCTCTTGGTTGTTTCTTGCTTTTTAGTCTTGATTGTATTGTTCTTCAATTTAATTGTTTCAATCATTCTTCTTAATTCTTAATTGTGGGTTCTGGGACTTCTTCTTCAATATGTTTTCTCTTGTATTCTTGTATTAATGGAATGATACAAAGAATGAGAATTACTTATGAATTAGGGATTATAACCTTATATATAGTGTTCATATGTATTTCGCTCATTATAAAATATTGTTTTAAAAGAATCTAATCTCTACATTTATTTAGGCTTACACTTTATTTAGATGCTCACAATCTAATTACTTTAATTCTTTATTAAATCACTTTAAGACATGTTTAATTTTAAGATAACCTTTATACACAATTAATTATATATGTAGACTCGCGTAACAAATTAAATCCAGACAATCTCCTAGTTGGACCACGTATGTTACCTTTATAAATGTGTATAACTCTCAAAACTTTTGCTGTCTTGTCTATCAATTATGTCAATATAGGATCAAAGCGATCTTCGTTACAAGTAATATAACTAAACCTACCAATGGTCACGCATATCAACACAATCAAATGACATAGATCAAGTATAGATGTGTAGCATTGAAATTATATGTAATGTGATTCAAACATGTCTACTTTCAACTCGTCCTACCTTATACTTTAATGAGATTAAATAAAAAACTTGAATTAGAGTAAAGACTAAATTGAATGCTTTATTACTGAAATAAAGTTGACTGCGTACAAATAAAAATCATATGTTCAAAAGAGACAACATTCAAAATTACAAACTTCCACTAAATTAGTATATCATCAATCTATAAAACATTCATGTGAGCAGTGTGCTCATAAAAAATCTTAGATAACAACCCTTTAGAAAATTGATTTGCTATCATGGAATTTGTCTCATTATGTTCCATAGTAACCAGACCACTCTAAACTCTTTCTCTAACAACTAAAAATTGTATGTCTATAAATTTAAACTTTGTTGAACTCCTATTGTTGTTTGAATAGAGGACTATTGACTTATTGTCATAAAATAATTTAAGTGGTCTTTCAATTTTATCCAAAATTCGCAGTCTACTGACAAAGTTTTGCAACCATATTCTTTGATTGGATGCCTTATAATATGCTACAAACTCTGTTGCTATGGTCGAAGAAACTATGAGTATCTATTTAGCACTTTTCCAATATAGCTCCTACAACTACCAGAAAGTCATAACCTAATATGGATCTCCCACTGTCTTGGATCCAGCAAAATCATAATCAAAATAACCAATGATCTACAATTGGTCTGATTTCCTCTATATAAGCATGTAATCTTTTGTTCCATGTAGATACAAAATAACCCGCTTGGCGGCTTTCCAATGATCCATCCCAGGATTACTTAAATATTTGTATAACATACCAGCAATAAATGCTATATCTGGACATGTAAATACCTAAGCATACATTAATCTCCCAACTACTGAAGTATTGGGAATTTTCTGCATTTCCTTTTCTTTAAAGTCATTATTAACGCATTGACTGAAATTGAATTTGTCTCCCATAACAACAAGGGTATCTCATAGTTTGTAATCCTGCATCCAATATCTCTTAAGTGCCTTATTGATATAGCTCTTTTGTAATAATCCAAGAAAAGCCCAAGAATGATCACAGTGTATCTACGTCTTATTATAAAAGAGGTGACACCAATATCTTTCATTTCAAAATTCTTTCATGGAAATGTCTTAGTTTCATGCAATAAGCTTATATCATAGCACACAAGCAGACTGTCGTCAATGTACAATACCAGAAAAATATACTTACACCTACTCAACTTATGATATACACAATCATCAACTGGATTTATCTCAAAATCAAACGTGATAATTATTTGATGAAATTTGTGATACCAATGAAGGAAAGCTTGCTTAAGCCTGTAGATATATTTCTTTGATATGCAAACCATTTTCTTGAGATCTCCTGACACAATGTTTTCAGGTTGTACCATATAAATTGTCTTTTCAATATCACGATTGAGAAATGACGTCTTTACATTGTAAATCATTTTGCAACAAGACGAGCATAATATCTCTCCACATTACCCCCTTCAAATCCCTCTTGATTTTAAATATCAATCTTAACTAATGAATTTCGTACCTTCAGGCAATGAGACAAATTTCCAAACATCATTGTCTTTCATGGTCTTTATTTTCTCATTTGTGACAACAATCCACTTCTGAGAATTATCACTTTGCATTGCTTGATAAAAGTTGATTGGATCTTCTTCCCTCAATCTAATGACATCCTTATGTTCTTGATGAAATATTACAAAGTCACTCAGAATTGTATTTCTCATTT